CCCCAAAACCCCAAAACCCCAAAACCCCAACCATTAAAATCCCTATAGAATTTAAATAATTTGAATATCCCAAATGTCTAGCCAGCCGAACGTCATTGAACTTGTAGAGGGCGGGGAGCTTAACAAAGCCCTCAAACTTTGTAATACAAAGATACACAAAGGAATCAATTCCAATCTATTCAAGACCATGAAGGGCTATTGTCTTGTCAAAATGAAGAAACCTCATGAAGGATTGGACCTAGCTGTAGAGGTCAAGGTTACCAAGCCAACTAGTCCAGAGATCTGAAAGTATTTAGCCCTGATTTACACGGAAACAGGCAATTTTAGTGAAGCAACATCTATTTTAGAAGACACCTACTTTATGAACCCGGATAATGAGGATATTGGAAGAGACCTATTTTACTCCTATGTCAGGGAGAATAAGTTATTGAAGCAGCAGAACCATGCTTTGATGTTGTATAAGCAATTTGAAGATGAAGATTATGCCTTATGGGCGGTAGAGACTATGTACCTCATCAAGCTGTCAATCAAAAATTTCGAAACAAAGATACTTGATATCGCCTATCTTTTATTACTTAAGGTGATGAAACACCCAGATTTTGAAATGGATAAAAAGTTTGTCATGCTGTATCTCAGAGTATTAAAGAAGCAAGGAAATTACAAAGAAGCTCTAGAGTTTATTGAAAGCAAAAATTCGTTCTTCACTGACAAGGTGGAGAGGCAGCAGATTGAAGCCGATCTGTTCCTAAAATCTGACAATCTTTTAGACTCCATCAACATTTTCTTCCAAATTCTGAAATCGAATTCTCATATTGCGAGTTTCAGGCCGATGTGGCCTACTTATCAAAAATGAATTAGGATTATCCTAGTTGACTACATTCCAAAAATTCTAAATTTTGAGTACAAGCCAAGTTTAGATTACTCGCTGAATTATTCATCAATCACTTCAAAGCCATTTGATCCAATCTCTGAAGGGATAGAACCTATTGAACTTCTTGAGACTCTCCTCAGTTCAATAATGGTGCTAAAGAAGAATATAATAGCTGATAATCCAAAGACTAAGGCTGTTGCTAATGCTTTCAAGAGAACATTAAGCCTCTGTGAAATAGAGTACAAGTTTTGTTTGGCTCTAAATTGCCCAGCTTTTCCAACCCAAGAAAAGTCGACGTACTATAACTCTATTTTAAACTACTTGGAAGCATTCTTTGAGCATACAGATGTGGTTCAAGACCTGCGTCCATACCTCAAGTTATTCTCTAGTGAAGATTCTTTTGCTTTTAGAGACTTTTTCAAGGAGAAAATCGAAAAATTCGAGAAATACAACCTCACCTCTAGAAGCATCATTCCAGATATCAAGCTAGTTAGATGGAAAGCTTGCTTCTTCAAATTATGTAAAACATTGAATCTGTATGGAAACTTGCCTGATATCAAGAAGAGATGTGAAGTGGTCAATGAAATATTTGAGACTTATCTTCAAGCAATGGCTCAGGATCCTAAGCATGTCACCCCTGTTGATAAGAAGAACTTTGAAGATATCGTAGTTATTGCTTATATCCTGCTGAAGGATAGCAAAATCTATGACTTTAGTGTACTCAACCCTTTTAATTACTATGCTATCGTAATGCTTGAAATTGCAAGGAAGAATAACCCAAGTAACAGAGATTTTAACTTAATCTTATTGGAACTATATGATAAGCTAGGCTGTTCATCTAGACTTACAGATATCCTAGCTCACTTCCAAACTAAAGGAGACGATTATGAAAAGTTAGGCTACCTAAAATTCTCTCATCTCTCAGAATTTGGAATCGCTAAAGGCCTTGAAGCAACTTGTAAACAATACAAAACGTTCTATGATAGGACCTTAATTGAGAACAAGAATAGAGTAATCACATGCTTCCAAAATAAAGAGTTTGAGAAGATTAGTGAATTCTTAGACAAAAACGAGTCAATGCAGGGAAGCTATTTCATGTCATGTACCCATCTGACTCTTCTCTTCATGAGTTTATTCAAGAATGGCAATAATCCTCATATAATCTCAGGAGTGTTCAGTAAGGATTTCCAGTATCTGAACTCTCTCTGAGATGATGAAGAGTCGTTGTTTGAAGAAGTAGAGCAACCTAAGCCAATCCAGTATCAGGTCTTTGAGAGTATCAAGATAGATCAAGAGAAATCAGAGATTAGGAAGCAAGAGCTTGGAGAAAAGGAGGAAACCAAGGAGGAGAAAAAGAACAGTTATGATCTTCCTGAGAGAAAGATTAATAATAATGCCACTCCTATTCATGTGTTCGGTTCAAATCATCCGAAAATACTCAAGTTCATGGCTATTATGATCAGATGTCTGAGACATTGATACGAAAGTAAGCCTCAGGAACTGAATCTGGACTTGAATAAGTTCTTACTACTCAAAAACGAGCTTTCTCTGAACTATCTCAGACAATATGAAAATGTTTTCACCGCCGTAAAAGCTGCTATAAAAATTTATGCATCTCAAGACGAAGCTAAAAGGAAGGAAATTGAAAAAGTAGAAATAGCTACTCTTGAAAAGATCATCAAAAATCAGAGTTCACTTAATCCATTCTCCCTTGCTGGTGAGAAGAAGGCAGCAGAGGAGACCAAGGAAGAAGAGACTGAGAAGAAGCCTTCTGAGTCGGCTCCAAAGGCTTACGATCCACTGACAGGAAAGTACACTGAAGAAGCTGCAATTTTTGAAAAGCTGATTCAAAAACTAGTGGAGTACAACGAAAAGGTAAACGACGGAAAGGAAATCACAATCGTGGACTATCTCCGCAGAATAGACTCTGAGAGTAAATTCATGAGAGAATTTGAGACCCAAAAAGTGATGAAGAACAGTTTCATAGAAGAGTTCAAAATCCATTGCTATAACTACATCTTGCTACTCTTTGAATCTATCATGAGGATCCTCACCACTCTCAAGAAGGAAAAAGATGATGACTCCAGCAGTAGCGAGGAAGAAGAGGAGAAGAAGGAAGATGTCTCCCAAAAGGAAACTATCAAAGGTAAGAAAAAGAAAAAGGGCAAGAAGGATGTCAAAGAGGTATTCTCTAAGAACTACAAGCGCTTCCTAGAAAATAGACAGAAGAAGATAGACAAGTTTATAGTAAATTGTATCGGCTGGAACCATATCCACAGATGTGTGGAGGTCCTAGGTATGACAGCAAGAGATCTAGTCTATAGGATCGTACCTACAAAAGTTGTAGTGAGAGAACTCAAAACAACCTCGGGTAAGGTCCTTAAGAAAGACTGCAAGTATACACTTGTGGAGAAGAAGCGATATGTCACTGTTGGTAAAAAGACCCAAGTTGATTACGTTTATGAGCTTGACCTGAAAGATGAGAATGAAGAAGATGAAGAGGAAAAAGAAGAGAAGAAGACCGCTCACGATGACTCCAAGGATGAGAAGGAAAATGATCAGAAAAATGCTATTTTCTTCATGAATTTTGATGATTTTTCAATATTCAAGCTCAAGTCTATCATTTATTTCCTTTACTATCCTCTCACATTTACTGAAATAATTGCAAATCTCTGGCTCCAGATTGTACCAATGAACATCATTGGTAAGAAAGCCAAAAGGGATGATGGAACTGAAGATTTTCTTGATAGTGAGAGTATTTCTGTGACCAGACAAGCCATGAGAGAGTTCATAAATTCTCTAATCAATCATCTCAAATCTCTCCAAGAATATGTCAACCAAGTCAAAGAGGAGAAGCTCATTGCTGAAAGATACAAGAGAATTTCTAGAAGAAAGGAAATCGCTACTATGAAAGAGATTTGTGCTATGTACACTCAGAAAGAGCCTGAAGAAGTAGAAAAGAGTTTCGCTACCTACTACGATAACATCATAGAGAGTCAAATGCAAACTGTTGATAACCTAAACAACATAATTGAGGAGAAGATCACCAGATTGAAGGCTATTAACATGAGATAACTCAAGTTTCAAATACAAATTCCTTACCTGGGGTTTTGGGGTTTTGGGGTTTTGGGGTTTTGGGG